TTTACAAGCAATTTTTGAAATTTTCATCAAATTAAACCAAATTAGCTAAAGGATTTTCAGCACAGCACAAGTTTTAAGTGAAATCTATAGCTGGTTATCAAAGTTTAACATTTTCCAAATCTAATTACACATAATTTAAGTGACAATGTTATGAAATATAGGGTATGGCTTTACTTTCTTTTACTCTAATTTTAGGCAGAATTACTATAACGTGATGGAGTTACTTACTGTGGTTGAATTACTTGTGTCATGGTAAAGATTTTGGTTGACAATTACTTGTGTCATAGTGAATATTATGGCTGAAAATTACTTATTTCATTGTAAAGATTTTAGTTGAAAGTTACTTATTTCATAGTAAAAAGAAATTAAATAAAAATGACAAATGCATACAACAAAATTTCAAAACTTAACATTTAAATGAAAAACAAAAAATAAAGCTAAAAACAATTCAAAATATTAAAGAACAAAAGGTATAAGAGTATAATAATGATTCTAACATAACACTAAAGCCAAACACCAACAAAACAACTACATATATGTGTATGTACAGCCACACACACATACATATATATATATATACTGTATATATACATACACATTTATAAATTCAATATATATATATTATTTCATTTCCATTTAGTTTGTTGAAGTATTAAAATATCTCAAATTAAATAAAACTAAAACTTAATAAAATACCTATACAGACATAATAAATTCAGACATAATTTAACTAAAATTAAAATAAATAACAAATACAAATAATATAAATCAAATGACAGTAGTTTATCAGTAATCCTGAAAAATAACACTGGCAAACACACATGCTAAAAAACAACAACTTGCTTACACATAGTAAGAAATGGTTATAAAAACTGAAACAGAAGTGAAACAAGTAGTAGGAAAGAGGAGAAATAAAAAGCGATACTTATTAAGACAGTTATTAATTTACATTTTATTAAAACCTGCAAAAACCTTTCTGTGGAGTGATGTAAATACATTTTACAATAGTTTATTGTGCATGCATATTATATTTAAAGTTGCTTAAGCGAAATCAAGGAGTTTTTAAGACTGGTTTATTCATTCTTTATACTGTAGACATACATATCCGCGTTTGTGCATCAATGTCTGTAATGTGTGCTGTAGGTGTGAAACTTTTAGGAATCTTATCCGAGTTGTAGGCTAGTCAATATTGCTCAGTCTGTCGTATGTATCTGAGGATCCGCGACTGAAACTGTGACCACAAACACCATTAACTTAAGTGAATTATATGGCAATAATCAGCAATATACTTTCACACAAATAACTTTATTTTTAATGTTTCAATATGTGTTGACACAAATGACTTATTAGAATTTTTCATTGATACAACATGGCACTGAGTTGTTAGAAAAGAAATGCGTAGAGACGTTATTGCTTGAGGACGTCAGGAACCGATGAATCGGCTTTTTGAACCGGTTCAATGAGCCGATCTGTCCGAAAAAGTACAGATTCGCGGAAATGAATCGGACTTTGCATCACCACCAGTCAGTGCATGTCGCCAATAAGTCTGCTTGTTCTGTGTGTCTCTGAATGCGTGGAGTAGTTTCTTCTGATACACAAACTCAAACACACGTCTGCATCTCAATATATGAGGACATGAACACATGCACGTCATCTTCAGAGCTGCTCTGAGAGTCACTTCACCAGCTTTATGCCGTTTCATTTCAGAAAAAATACCTTAAAATACATGCTGAAACTAAAACTAAAACTGAAAGACCTTCACAACAAACCGTCAAAATAATAGTCCGATTTAACTTGAAATGATATGACAGAATATATTACTACTGTATACTACAATGCAATTCTCAAAGTAATAATAATATTATTATTTTTAAGGAATATCATACAACCAAGTTATTTTTTATCATTATTAATTTATACAGTTCTGTTGTGCAGCATCATGTCTGATCAAATAAAAATAAATAAATAAAATGTATTTAAAATGTATTCATTTTCATTTGACTACATTTGTAAAAATGTATTAAATTGTTAATGTTTTATTAATTCATTTCACTAGACACCATTTTTTATGATAAATTTGTACTGAATCATAAAACACAGAATCCATAAGAAATCAAATGGAAAACACAGAATTTAGGGAAAAATAAAATGCTTTTTTGCATTAAATGCAAGATATCAAGATATATAAAAAAATATATATATATATATGTATTGGAGTATATCAAACAAGTAGCCCTTGAAACTATTTAATCCCTTCAGGGAGCCCTCACTCACAAAAAGGTTGGAGGCCCCTGTAATATAGCATAATGAGAGATTTACAAGCAATTTTTGAAATTTTCATCAAATTAAACCAAATTAGCTAAAGGATTTTCAGCACAGCACAAGTTTTAAGTGAAATCTATATATATATATATGTATTGGAGTATATCAAACAAGTAGCCCTTGAAACTATTTAATCCCTTCAGGGAGCCCTCACTCACAAAAAGGTTGGAGGCCCCTGTAATATAGCATAATGAGAGATTTACAAGCAATTTTTGAAATTTTCATCAAATTAAACCAAATTAGCTAAAGGATTTTCAGCACAGCACAAGTTTTAAGTGAAATCTATAGCTGGTTATCAAAGTTTAACATTTTCCAAATCTAATTACACATAATTTAAGTGACAATGTTATGAAATATAGGGTATGGCTTTACTTTCTTTTACTCTAATTTTAGGCAGAATTACTATAACGTGATGGAGTTACTTACTGTGGTTGAATTACTTGTGTCATGGTAAAGATTTTGGTTGACAATTACTTGTGTCATAGTGAATATTATGGCTGAAAATTACTTATTTCATTGTAAAGATTTTAGTTGAAAGTTACTTATTTCATAGTAAAGATTATGGATGAAAATTTATTATTTATGGTAAAGATTTTAGTCGAAAAATACATATATCATAGTAAAGATTTTAGTTGAAAGTTACTTATTTCATAGTAAAGATTTTGGATGAAAATTAATTATTTCATGGTAAAGATTTTGGTTGAAAATTAATAATTTATGTTAAAGATTTTAGTCGAAAAATACATATATCATGGTAAAGATTTCAGTTGAAAATTACTTATTTCATAGTAAAGATTTAGGTAGAAAATTCCTTAAATCAAGCAAAAGATTTTGGTCATATCACCCACCTCTACATAATTTAAACAGGTAGCAGCTAGAAAGTCAAAACACTTTCTATATCTTTTGTTGTTGATGTCCAATCTAACACCAAGGTCAACTAGTAGAGCTGTACCTCACGATCCTGAACTAATCCTGAACTTAAATGAAGTTCCAGTGGGAATGGGAGCTCCTCCTACTTTTATATTGTGTTCAAACCAGGTAACATGGGAACCTTTGTTGGAGACGGTCCATCAGGAATGTAAATGCTGTTGGAAATGAATGGACCACAGCAGGACAGGAGGAAGTGCTTATATAAACCTCTGGGCTGGAGCCATCAAAGTCACCACATGTCTACACTGAAGCCTCTGGCAAAACGTCAACGATGCATGGAGACAAAACGAGAAGGCCATCTCAGATCCATCTGGAAACATATAATGGTACTTTTGTCTACTGACAAAAAAACGTCTTGACTTGTGTTTCGAAGAGCCAGTGTTTTCTGATCCGTTCGCAACAATAGGAACGTTCCCATGAGTTCTGTGGAACATCCCACTCTAGACAAGGAGGGATTCATTGGCTATCAGTGGACAGGCCATATGGAAAATGTCATTCCAAGAGGAAGCTGTGAGATATCGCTACACAGTTAATATATAAAAACCAACTGCTTTGGCAGATCTGAGTACTACGTCATCATAAGTTGGAGGCTTTCCTAGACAATGAGTATTACATTAGTAAGGCATTCCAAGCTGATTACATAAACTAAAGTGAGAAACATCTTAAACATTTTGTATAATGGAGCCAATGATTGTCTCCAGATTGGTTCCTGCAGTCTGGTTAGATGATTAGTGAACAATGACTTTGTTAAAATCAACCAAAATACTGAATGAACTGTTTTTTTTACAGTTTGGAAGTGCCGGAACAACAGAAGTTCATGTCTGAATGTTAACAGTGTGGCTCTGTAAAGCTGTAAAACAATCTCAGTGATTGGAAATATCATGCAAAGGCTTCTAAACTCTTAAAAATAAAGGTTGCTAAAGGGATTTTTCAAGCAATGCCATAAAAGAGGCATATTTGGATTCCCAAAGAAGTGAACAGTTCTCAAAATAACCTTAGTGCGAAGAACCATTTTCCACTATAAAGAACATTTTGCCCAATTAAAAGATTCCATAGATGTTAAAGGTTCTCCTTGGAACCATCGATGCCAATTAAATCTATACTTTTAAGAATGTAATATGGAAAAATTCAACCATAGAACAGTTTGCATTTGGTTAAACACCAAATTTTGCATTTGGATCATCACCCTCTAGACCCTAAACATGCAAGACTAATGAGCACATTTATAAGAAAACCACATCAGAACAGACACCTGAAGTAAATGTTTATGTCTCCCCCCAGTGTTTTCTTTCCATGGGGGGCTTTTACTGTAGATACACTACTTTCAAGACCAAGAAGGAGAGAAAGGGGGAGGCAGACATCTTAATATGCATTGAATAACTGCTGGATTTGTAGACTAGAAAAAGTTTAGAGATGTGTGGGAACATTTTTGCTTTTTTAGGACAATATGAGTTCAAGTATTTTAACAAATATCAATATATCGTCACTAATAAGATGCTTATAGAAATGCATGTTTCCTCTTGGATCTCGAGGACAATTTGCACGATTTCGCTTCATTCATTCATTCATGAACGCATACTTTAGAAATAATCTGCAATACACAATAAGCAATAATCTGCCAATTTAAACGCCATCATTGGAAATATTAGTGAAAAAACGCGTTAGGATCTTTCTTAATGCAAAAAAAAAATTTTTTGGAAAAACTACAAAGGGGAAAAACTTGCAATGAATATCGAAAAGTTACTTACGTGAACTTTATCGAACTTTCCTTTGAAGAAGAAGAGCGTTTGCTCCAGCTCGAGCTCTCGAACCGAATCGGTTCCAGAATCCAGAATCTTATCGCCAAACCGGATCCCGTAATCGAAGAGCTGCTCCCGGTTCAGACACCGGACCGACACCAGCAGAGCCAGAAGCCCAACACTGCGCAGAAGAGCCATTAAACAACTCTAGAAACTCTACACATAAAGCTCCGGTGGTGGATGAACTCTAGAGGTGTGAGAGGAGTTCATGCAGGAGGCGGAGGAGCCTCAGAAATCATTTACATTACTGGGGAAATCTGAACCCCCTGGAGGACGTCACAACAAAAGCTATAGGGTGGGGGTGCCCATAGCTACCAAAGTCATTCAGTTCTAGGTATTTTCTACGTTTAGAACATTAACAAGTGTGTCAGAGCACGTATTTTCATCTGGCGCTACAATCGCGTTCGCCCGAGGGGTAACCATAGCAACAGCGACTTTAGTTACGAAAATACATCGACAAAAATAAGAATTAGCCCTGTTGAAATAACCAGCATATGCTGGTTCGGTATGTTTTGAAGCTGGGATGCTGGTCCTTTGCTGGTTTAAGCTGGTCCTTTGTTGGTTTAAGCTGGTCTTTTGCTGGTTTAAGCTGGGCCTTTGCTGGTTTAAACTGGTCCTTTGCTGGTTTCAACTGGTCATTTGCTGGGTTAAGCTGGTCCTTTGTTGGTTTAAGCTGGTCTTTTGCTGGTTTAAGCTGGGCCTTTGCTGGTTTAAACTGGTCCTTTGCTGGTTTCAACTGGTCATTTGCTGGGTTAAGCTGGTCCTTTGTTGGTTTAAGCTGGTCTTTTGCTGGTTTAAGCTGGGCCTTTGCTGGTTTAAACTGGTCCTTTGCTGGTTTCAACTGGTCATTTGCTGGGTTAAGCTGGTCCTTTGTTGGTTTAAGCTGGTCTTTTGCTGGTTTAAGCTGGGCCTTTGCTGGTTTAAACTGGTCCTTTGCTGGTTTCAACTGGTCATTTGCTGGGTTAAGCTGGTCCTTTGTTGGTTTAAGCTGGTCTTTTGCTGGTTTAAGCTGGGCCTTTGCTGGTTTAAACTGGTCCTTTGCTGGTTTCAACTGGTCATTTGCTGGGTTAAGCTGGTCCTTTGTTGGTTTAAGCTGGTCTTTTGCTGGTTTAAGCTGGGCCTTTGCTGGTTTAAACTGGTCCTTTGCTGGTTTCAACTGGTCATTTGCTGGGTTAAGCTGGTCCTTTGTTGGTTTAAGCTGGTCTTTTGCTGGTTTAAGCTGGGCCTTTGCTGGTTTAAACTGGTCCTTTGCTGGTTTCAACTGGTCATTTGCTGGGTTAAGCTGGTCCTTTGTTGGTTTAAGCTGGTCTTTTGCTGGTTTAAGCTGGGCCTTTGCTGGTTTAAACTGGTCCTTTGCTGGTTTCAACTGGTCATTTGCTGGGTTAAGCTGGTCCTTTGTTGGTTTAAGCTGGTCTTTTGCTGGTTTAAGCTGGGCCTTTGCTGGTTTAAACTGGTCCTTTGCTGGTTTCAACTGGTCATTTGCTGGGTTAAGCTGGTCCTTTGTTGGTTTAAGCTGGTCTTTTGCTGGTTTAAGCTGGGCCTTTGCTGGTTTAAACTGGTCCTTTGCTGGTTTCAACTGGTCATTTGCTGGGTTAAGCTGGTCCTTTGTTGGTTTAAGCTGGTCTTTTGCTGGTTTAAGCTGGGCCTTTGCTGGTTTAAACTGGTCCTTTGCTGGTTTCAACTGGTCATTTGCTGGGTTAAGCTGGTCCTTTGTTGGTTTAAGCTGGTCTTTTGCTGGTTTAAGCTGGGCCTTTGCTGGTTTAAACTGGTCCTTTGCTGGTTTCAACTGGTCATTTGCTGGGTTAAGCTGGTCCTTTGTTGGTTTAAGCTGGTCTTTTGCTGGTTTAAGCTGCTCCTTTGCTGGTTTATGCTGGTCATGTGCTGGTCTTGTCGGACCAGCACATGACCAGCATAAACAAGCTAAGGACCAGCTTAAACCCGCAAAGGAGCATCTTAAACCAGCATATGACCAGTTTACACCAGCAAAGGACCAGCTTAAACCAGCAAAGGACCAGCATCACAGCTTCAAAACATACCTAACCAGCATATGCTGTTTTATTCAACAGGGGCTGTCACCATTTATAGCATTTATATTTCACAACTACATAAAAACACTACGAGTCTCTAACGTAACCATAGCAATGGCGACTTTAGTTACGAAACTAGGACTTTACATCAACAAAAATAAGAACTGTCGCCATTTATATTTCACAGCTACAAAAAAAATGTCTGAAAAGTCTTTAACAACGGAATCATCAAAGACTCTCTCTGAGGAATCTGTTACAGTATGTGCTGGATTTGTTCAAACATCTTAAGTGCCCATACTAAAGTGGTTTAATTCTACATATAAGCTACATTTTCAAAAGTTTCAGTAAATTTATAAGTGTGTCAGAGGCAGAGCATATATTTTCATTTGGCGCCTAAGTTGCCTTCGCCTAAGTGGTAACCATAGCAACAGCACCGTTAGTTACATAAATTGGACAATACTTATCACTTTACAATGAATTTATATTTACCAACTACATAAAAATAAACCTAAATATTCCGTATAGAAGTCTTTAACAGCAGAATCAAAGACTATCCCTGACAAAAACACAGCCCACTGTTATTAAAACATGTGTGCTGGATTTGTTGGAATAGTACCCATAAGTGATTTAATTTCACATCTAAGGGACATTTTGTATGTTTTAAAGGGGTCATATGATGCGATTTCAAGTTGTTCTTCTGTGTCTGTCACGCGACTCTGTTCCCCTTTCAGGCTCTGTCTTTACATTTATTTTGAAAGATGAAGCTCGCGATTATGGTGAGGGGCGTTACATTTCCGACGAGTGCTTGCAGTAACCATAGCAACAGCGTGCTCCACAAACGCTTTTTCTTACGAAAATCGTATGCTTCATTGACCAAACATAACTACTGCCATTATTTAACAATTCACTGTGAATTTATATTTCACAGCTACATAAAAATATATTTCCGTGTTCTGTCTACAAGTCGTTAACAGCTGATTAATCAAAGACTGGAAGCAATGCGACAAATAAATAGAATGCGGTTTTAAAAACATATTTGTGCTGGATTTGACCAAGCGGCAACCACCCGCTCTCTCTCGTGAAGCCAACACGGAAGTGACTTAAACTGTAATTCATCAACTGGCCACTAGAGGCTGGCTCCCATAGACTCCCCATGTTAAAATGCCCAACTTTACAGCAGAAAAAAACATGTTTACAGCCTGGTTCAAAAAATTATTTTGGTCTATATATCTAATTTTGCCCTTCATGACAACTGTGAGGGGGGTGCATTTTTTTATAACTCATCCGTTTAAATTATATTAAGCCTTAAAGTTCTGCATAATTAAGGGCGTGGCCACTTGAGTGACAGGTGGATTGTGCTGCTGTCACCACCGTCGAGCTAGGTGGGCGTGGCTTCAGCAACCTGCTCCCGCCTCTTTTCCCATTTTCGATTATCCGGGAGTGACGCGCGGTGACGCGCTGCCAAGATGGCGACGGCCAGCTCCGCCCACTTTTGAGCTTCAAAAACGCTCTTCGGAAACCTACGGGTGACGTCACGGACACTACGTCCATGTTTTTATACAGTCTATGGATTTGACTGATTTTCTAAAGCATATTTGTAAAAACAAAAAGCTCTGTCCACCCCACCCTGGTCCAGATGTGAGCCACCTCTGCCTCAGGCTTCAGTTAAGAGCCCAGGGGCCTTCAGGGGTCAGTGTACTTCTGAGGGGCCCTACAGTGACACATAATCACTTTACAACCTGAAGTTATTAAGTAACTATTCTCAGTTACAAACCCAGATTCTGAGCCTTTTCCACAATCCGGACCGTAATAAATGAATGAAAGAGTCCTTATTGAGCGGAGATGATCAGTTTCCATATGCAATATTCCATATATATTTTACAGATGTGATTCGGAGAGTCTTGAAAATCATTTCTAGTGGACTATTTGATGTGATATAGTTATCATGTGTTTCTCTGCACAGGTACAATTATGTTTCACAACCACACATCTGCAGACAAATGAGAGAGACGGCAGAGGAATGTCCCGTTTAGTCACTTATTCTGCACAACAACTAGTTTTCAGCAGCTTCAGCTGAGGTAAACGCTTCAATAACTGCTCTAACGCCGCATTCCAGCTGTAACGTCTGCAGTTACCAAGAGTTATTGATCTGTTCCACATCTTCACTGCCAGCAACCTCTCAACAACCAGGGTTGCCAGGTTTTCAAAATAAAACCCGCACAATTGATACTCAAAACAAGCCCAATTGTGTTCCATGAGTAAAAAACATGTAAAATACACATTTGTGGCCTGGTAACCCTGGCAAAATGTGCATTCCAGGAGCTAAATATCACATAATTGGGGTCGCGGGAATAATTAGGACTTGGCAACCCTGTCAGCAACATGAAACTAGATAGCAGAGCTTTTCTTGAGGTTTGTAGTAGCAGAATTTTTCACGTTTTATCATCGCCCGCTGGTGGTGACGTGGATATTACTAATCCAATTACAAGACATAACCATGCAACATCATTTGATGAGGGAAAAATCAAAAACAATTGTTAATTTGTGACCCCAAACCAAAAATTTATAAATAATATTTGGCATAAAGAAAATTAAATATATTAAGATTTTAAAAAATAATTTTCATGACTACGTAATGCAACAAAAATACTGATATTTACTGAAATTTTATAGCATTTATACTATATTTGTACAGTCTTTATGCTGATTTCAATAAATCCACTACATTCATGTAGAAATGACCATTAGAGTCTTTTTCGTTTTGATTTTGGAGTTAAACATGAGATGTACGTGAAAATAAATGAACAAATAATTTTAAAAAGTAGCAATTGCATCCTATTCCTAAAGAGATACTGACAGAAGCTGTAAACCTGAAGAAATTAATGAAGAGTTGACTTAATTGTCATGAAATAGAGTGTAAAACATCAAAACAAAGGACCTAAAAAATACATTTTCAAAAATTATTGTTCTTTTTCTAGTGCGTTTTTTGTTTTGATTTTGAGGTAAATTATGAGATTAACGTGAAAATAAATTAATAATTTTGTATTAATTGCATTCTATTCCTAAAAGGATATAAACCTGAAGAATTAAATGAAGAATTTGCTGAATTGTCGTGAAAATGTCTAGGACCAAAACATCTTAATGGTCCTAAAAATAAAATAAAAAGTACATTAGATAAAGTAAAATTAAAAAGTAAATTATTAAAATGACATCAAAATAAATGAACAAATAATTTAATTCGTTTTAATTAATTTTATTATTAGAAGAGTATCAGTTCTATAATTATATTTATGAATTCTTAATGCTCTTAAAATAAATTTTTACAATTATTT